TTTATTTTCGTAGTTTCGTCTTTGTGCATCAATTATTAACGAAGCTGCTAGCCGCGGTGAAAGTTCTTCCATTAACCATGGAAACCTATATCGGTAAACAAAATTGAATTATATCTATAATAATTACTTTAATAATTGTTGTAAACATTTTATTAATCATCATAAATACAGTGAAACCTATATGGATAAATAAAATTGAATTATCTCACTAATAAACGCCATAAATATCTTATTAATTAAATAACGGTAATGTACAAAAAGACTTTTTACAATAAATAGGACAATATTATTAAAATAAAAATGTCATTTGGCCAAATATGACAATAAAAGAAATAAACTGATTGTGTGATATTGTAAATTTGTTTCAATAGATTTGTTACAAACTCTCCCGACTAACTTTTACCTAAGCTTTGGCTTCTTTACTATTCCGGTAAGTACTAGGCCCGGATAAATAGTGGTGAATTTAACTGATGATTTTCCGTTACTTAATGCACGTAATTCTTCAGATACAGTTTCCATCATTGCTACGATACATACATCAAAATATGTAAGAAAGCAAAATATGTAATTATATATAATAACATGTTATGCTATCAGCGTGCTGCTACGTATAATTATGTATAATAAATGTATTTTTTTTTCTTAATTTGTGTATGTGTTTGTATGTAAGTGTATACGTATATAAATGTTCATTTATCTTCATTAGTATAGTTTATATTCCTTTATAGTATAATATTTTATTATTTATGTCGTAATATTGTTAAATATGAGATAAATTACTTTTGATTGCGCTTTTCGAAGGGCAATAGGTTGTTCCATAAGGGCTCCAAAAAATCCTAGTATTGATGAAATTGCTACGACATGACCGTGATTTTTTTCTATCATACTTGGCAAGAATGCTCGTAATGTCTGAAAATAGTTCCTTTGTAAATAACAAAAGTTTAGTTACATGCTTGTTCAAATCGTATTCAAAGAACAAACGGCAAGCTAATGCAGTTATATTTCCAAAATTGATAAATTTCATTGAGTTATTTTGTGTATCACGA